CAAGGCCCCAGAAAGAATATGACCTGAAGATTAGAAGTGTCCTCCAAGTATGGAACAAGCCTATTGAAAAAAGATTACATGTAGATACATCATGGAAATGTTCATGTTAGAAGAAATAAAGAGAAGAATCATAAAAGCTGTCAGAAAAAAATAGGCTATCTACCAGGAACAAAGAATCAGAGCAGTGCATTATTTTTCATTGGAAAGAAGAAACATTGGTCAACATCCTCGGAGTTTTGAGGAAATACAATTTGGAGCCTAAAATCTCATGTTTGTCAAACAAATTTATTTAAGGGTGGAAAAAGAACACACATTTTTGGATATGCAAGAAGCTATCAAATGTACCACTTGCATAATTGAAAGAATTATTTGCATGTATAATCCAGCAACATGACTAACAAATCCAATAAGAAAGAAAGAATAAATGGGATACAGGAAGCAGTTGTGTGTAAAGAAGGCAGTACAATTTATATTTATGCCTCAATCATTGTTGATGGCTAATGTAAAATATTTATTTTAATGACACTTTGGCACTAAAATTCCAGATTTTATCAATTTTGCAAAGAGTGAGGATGAAGATGGGCATTAAAAAGAGAAGGTTCAATCAATCTTTCAAATTGGAGGAAAGTAATTTAAAAGAAAATTATAGTCGGTGGAAAACAAAGTAAGACAAGAGTATACCCAGGGGGCACCTGGGTGGCTTAGTCGGTTAAGCGTCCGACTTTCGCTTGGGTCATGATCTCGCGGTTCATGGGTTCGAGCCCCGCGTCGGGCTCTGTGCTGACTGCCAGCTCAGAGCCTGGAGCCTGTTTCAGTCTGTGACTCCCTCTCTCTCTGACCCTCCCCTGCTCGCGCTGTCTCTCTCTCTCCTAGAAATAAATAAAACATTAAAAAAAAAATTAAAAAAAAAAAAAGACAAGAGTATACCCGGGCATATTATAATCACAGAAATGTGAATATACTACATTTCCCCATCGAAAGACAGAGACTCACCATTTTTAAAAGAAGTACATCCACAGCAAGTTTAAAAAGAAGCAATTGGAGTTCCTGCTTCAGTAATAGGATGTGATAAGTTATTTGGACCACGTTGACCACGAAGTACAAGAAAACATGCCTGAATAAGGCATAATGGAACATATTGAAAATATCGATGAATAAGATAGTAAAGAATAGTAGGCTAATTCTTGAGGAAATGAGAGAGGTAAGTGGAGGCCAGAAATCCCGTTTGTGCTACAGGAGCTTGCCAAATGGAAACTTCCGTTTTCATGGATCAATGGGCACACAAGGGAAGAGTGATCAATGCCCAAGGCCCAATCCAAGACCGCTTCATAGGAGACCCTTCTCCATAAAGTATAACTCCCAAAATACCTTTAGAATAAGGGTAAATCCACTCCAGCTTCTCAACACCCAAGAGAAGACCAGGTGATTTTCCCTGGCGTTGAGCAGAGCAGGGCATTGGGAGGGACGGCCTCTCAGATGGCCTTACAGCCACAAGCTGGGAACCGCAAATCACTTCCCTTGGAAAGTCTGAAAAATAAAATTTCAGTGACTCAATTTAAACAGGTGACACCCCTACATGACTTGTAGAAGGAAATGCAAATCCTCTCTGGAGAAACAGTTCATCCCAGACCTCAAAGACTTCAAATACGTTTTCAAAATCTCACAGTCAAAAACAAGCACACAGGGAAAAAGCCACTGTTGGTTAAGAATCGAAAAAATAGCAGAGGAAACAGACGCGCAAAGATGTTTGTTCTGTGGAGTAATCAGGCAGGTTAGGAAACATCTACAGTTAGAGTATTTAAACAAATAGAAGATAAGATGGAAAACTTCACAAAATAGTCAATTGCAAAATAAAAAAAACCCCAAAACTGGATGTAGCAGATTTGGAAAAAAAACTTATAGAAATGAAAAAATACAATAATTAAAATTGTAAACTCAGTGTGTGGTCTTTAAAAAAAGATCAGGTAGGGGTGCCTGGGTGGCTCAGTTGGTTAAGCGTCCAACTTCAGCTCAGGTCATAATCTCAGGGTTCGTGGGTTCCAGCCCCACGTCGGGCTTTGTGCTGAGAGCTAGCTTAGAGCCTGGAACCTGTTTCAGATTCTGTGTCTCCCTCTCTGACCCTCCCCTGCTCATGCTGTCTCTCTCTCTCAGAAATAAATAAAACATTAAAAAAAAATTAAAAGAAAAAGATTAGGTAAAGCCAAAGGAAAACAATGGATGAACAGAAGATAGCTGGAGAAATTAATCGAGATGTGGCAGTTTAATACAAAGTTACTGAAAATAGTAGATGTTAAGAGGTGTATAAACCACAGTAAAATGTCTAACAAAAGAAGAAAGAGAAACTGGGAAGAAAGCCATATTCAAAAAGAGATTGAGACCTCTATAAAACTTAAGAAACCACAGTATAAACCACAGTAAAAATGTCTAACAAAAGAAGAAAGAGAAACTGGGAAGAAAGCCATATTCAAAAAGAGATTGAGAACTCTATAAAACTTAAGAAAGACATGAATCAACAGATCATTAAGCCCAACAAAATCCAAAGCAGGACAAAAAAGAAATCAACATAAAGAAAACATGGTGATAATAACTAAAGAAACCAAAGACAAAGATAAAAATTCTAACCCAGCCAGAGAGACCTTCAAAGAAGCAAGATTTTTCCTGACAGCTTCTCATAGGCAGTAGCAGGAGCCAGTGGACTCAGGGAGAAATACTCACATAGAATTCCGTACCCAGTGAAATACTTTTCAGGATGGTGGGTGAAATAAAGGTATTTCAGACAAAAGCAAGAAAAAAAATTGTAACTGAAAGACCTCACTCAAGGAAATTCTTCAGACAGAAGAAGTTTAAAAAAAAAAAAGTAAGTTCTGAAATGGGAGAAAGAGTGAAAAACAAAGAAAATGGTAACCTGTGGGAAATCTAAAACAAGCATTGATTTTATAAAATAACAGTAGTATTGCTCTGCAGTCTTAAATACATTTTGTTGGTTCAAAAGAAGATCGGGAAGGATATAAAAAGATAACCTAGAAAATGGTGACAAACAGAAATAAGATAAAAGCACAAAATAAGATATCTAAACCCAGCTATATGAGTTATTGCATTAAATGTCATGGACTAAATTCTTCAATTAAAAGATATGTAGAGGGATGCCTGGGCGGCTCAATCGGTTAAGCATCCAATTCTTGATATCCAGCTCAGGTCATGGTCTCTCGGTTCATGAATTTGAGCCCCAAGTTGGGTTCTGTGCTGATCAGGAGCCTGACTAGGATCCTGTCTCTACCCCTCCCCTGCTTGCTCTCTGTCTCTCTCTCTCAAAAACAAACAAACAAAAAAACTTAAAAAAGATATGTAGGAAAAAATCAGTTACATTATGCTTACAAAAGACATATCAAAAATATGAGACTACTGAAAGGTTTTTAAAGTTTTAAGAATGTGAAAAGATGGAAAAGGCATTATTCAGATACTAACCAAGAAAGCTGTATTAAAGTAGTCATGTTAATATTCAATAATAAAGGGGCTCCTGGTTGGCTCAGTTGGTTAAGCATCTGACTTCGGATCAGGTCATGATTTCATGGCTCATGGATTCTGGCCCTGCATTGGTCTCTGTGCTGACAATTCAGAGCCTGGATCCTGCTTCGGATTCTGTGTCTCCCTCTCTCTCTGCCCCTCCCCCACTCATGCTCCCTCTCAAAAATAAACATTTAAGTTTTTAAAAATATTCAATAATAAAGACTTTAAGGTAAAATCATTAGTAGATATAGTCATCTTAAAATGATAAAACGTGGGGCGCCTGGGTGGCTTAGTCAGGTAAGCGTCTGACTTTCGCTTAGGTCATGATCTCGCGGTTCGTGGGTTTGAGCCCCGCGTCGGGCTCTGTGCTGACTGCCAGCTCAGAGCCTGGAGCCTGTTTCAGTCTGTGTCTCCCTCTCTCTCTGACCCTCCCCTGCTCACGCTGTCTCTCTCTCTCTCCTAGAAATAAATAAAACATTAAAAAAATTTTTTTAAATGATAAAACGTTTCAATTTTACAGAAAATATAACAATTTAAAATTTACATGCTCTTAATAACATAGCCTCAAAATACATAAAGCAAAAATTGTCAAAAAATTGTCAGAAAAGAAAAAAGACAAATCAACAATCATAATGGAAAATTTTAACACATCTTCTTTTAATGTTTATTTATTTTGAGAGAAAGTGCAAGTGGGGGAGGTGCAGAGAGAGAGGAGAGAGAGAATCCCAAGCAGGCTCCATGTCGTCAGCACAGAGCCTGATATTGGTCTTGAACCCACAACTTGTGAGATCATGACCTGAGCCAAAGTCAAGTTGTACGCTTAACCGACTAAGACACCCAGGCGTCCCTGTTTGAATCTTATTTAAGGAGAAGACATTCATATAATACTTATGCACTAGAAAAAGCTATTTTTATAGCTATTTGCTAATTGCTATTGCAGCAAATTTTACTCATACTCTTTCCCTATCCATGCTTTATACATTCTTAATATGAAAGGCAGATCTTTTTAAGAAGACATTTGTTATTTTGTTTTTTTAAATTTTTTTTAATGTTTTACTTATTTTTGAGAGAGAGAGAGAGAGAGACAGACAGCGTGAGCAGGGGAGGGTCAGAGAGAGAGAGGGAGACAACAGAAACCGAAACAGGCCCCAGGCTCTGAGCTAGCTGTCAGCACAGAGCCTGACACAGGGCTCGAACCCACGAACTGTGAGATCATGACCTGAGCCGAAGTCGGACGCTTGACCGACTGAGCCACCCAGGCGTCCCAGACATTTGTTATTTTGAACAAAAATAAGTTTGCGTTGGAAGCAAATCTGGGTAAGCTCCAACTAAGTCCTCTGTAGTTGTGGACAGACTCTTCCAGAGTGTTCAGGTCCCGCACAGCCCCTTTGAGAAAAGAGAACAGAAAAACTGAGGGGAAGCTGGACTCCTTTAAGAGAAGCAGGTGTCTCAGCCCTCAGGTGGAGTCATTTCCTGCCCTGTGATAAAGTCCGCCTGGGCTTGCGGCTCTGTCATTACCGCGGGCCAGTGGGGGCACCTCCAGAGCAGCATGGTAAGTGGCTGTGGCCCCCTACCTTGTTATCACGGTCGCTTTGGTGTGGTAGCAAATTTTACCCATTGTATATGGCCCACTTTCCTACCGAACCATCAATTCTTAATACAAAAGAAGAGATTTTTAAGGAGGCCATTTGTTTCTTTCAATAACTGTGTTTGAGGCAGATTTGGATAAGCTCTCATCCCCTGCACCTGTAGTTTTGCAGCTTTTAGGAGAAGCTTAGTTGATTTGCAGTTGTTCACTGCTTTTTAAAAAAATTTTTAATGTTTATATTTTGAGAGGGAGAGGGAGGGGCAGAGAGAGCTAGAGACAGAATCTGAAGCAGGCTCCAGGCTTGGAGCTGTCAGGACAGAGCCGGATGCGGGCCTGAACTCATGAGCTGTGAGATCATGACCTGAGCTGAAGTTGAACGTTTAACTGACTGAGCCACCCAGGCGTCCCTGTTCACTGCTCTTAATTGAAGTACAGAAGCAGGAAGCCCTCTCTCCTGCCGTTTAGACCTGGCCTGCTGGCTTTTCTTAGAAATCAGATTGCTTCACTTTTAGGTATGCCTGTAGAGCTTCTGGGGACTTCAGACCCAGGTCACCGTTGCTAAGCTCATAAACGCGTGGCCGGGTAAAGTGCATGGACATCTCCTGGTCCTCTCTTGAGCTTAGTTCTCGGGGGACTACTGTGAACCTGGTTGCTTACAATAGTTCCTGTCTGGGGATCATCTTTTAAGATCCACTGCCCTTTTAGCATCTTAGGTGCCAGTCTCAGTAATTTTTTGTATATTAGAATTTTGAATTTTCAAATGGAAGCAGCCTTTCATACTGCTTTTTCATCTTTGATGTTCTCATCCCCTTGGCCTCTCTTTCCAACATTTTAAGGATGTTCAAGCTCTTTTGTCCTTAGAAATTATGACTTCCTACATAAGGGCTCTCTGTGGTCCCAGAAACATTCTGTGTCTTGACTGAATTACTTTCGATATTCTGGGTGTGATATTGTACTATATATATAGTCTTGCAAGATATTTCTGCTGGGGAAAATGAGTAAGGGGTACACAAGATCTTTATGGTTTCTTACCATGTATGAATCTACAACTTCTCTTTATCTCAAAATAAAAAGTGAATTAGAAAATCATGCCTTCCTAGTAATTCAGATAGCCACGGTAGCAGCATTTACGAATGTGCAGTGACTTACCAGTATAGGTATTCGGTGGACAGTTTACAGTCTTGTCTTATAGGGTGACTGAGATTTGACAGGTAGCTCCGAGAGGAGGGAAGGCTACGACAAGCGCAAGGTGAGGCTAGCCTTCGGTACTCTGGGACAGTTATGTCTTGAGTGGTCCTTCTTGGGCCGAGGATTCCTGGCAAGTCCAAAACGGACATTACCATGCCTGTGTCTGAATCACTTGGGTAACAAACCCTGTGAAGACCCTGTTACCTAAATCTAGGGAGTTTTGATCTGGTTACAGTAGCTGATGTGCAGAGATCATTTGCAGCCCAGCCGGTGCGGGAAGGATGAGGCTGTGTTTTGTAGACAAGAGTCTTAGAAGCCAGTTTATGATGGAACATGTTATTTGATTTTTAGGTTCCGGACAGAGGTGGGAATATTGGTTGGTACTGAGCAAGGTGCTTTATTTTTTAATGTTTATTTTTGAGACAGAGAGCACGAGGGTGCACAAACATGGGGGAGGAGCAGAGAGAGGGAGACGCAGGATCTGAAGCAGGGTCCGGGCTCTGAGCTGTCAGCAGAAAGCCCGACGCAGGGCTCAAACTCACAAAGGAACCATGAGATCGTGACCTGAGCCAAAGTCAGATGCTTAACCAACTGAGCCACCCAGGCGCCCCTACTGAGGTGCTTTCTAAATTGAACTCACAGCCTTTGTCATGAGAGACCGAAAGCTGCACAGAGAAAAAACAAGGGGGAAGTTGTCCTCAAGCAGTGAACTTGAATTCCTCGTAAAGCAAAGAGGGCAGTGTCAGAACTTGTGAATCAAGGAGACAAAGTACACGGGCTTGATACGACGGGGGCGGGAACAGAGTCCGAGCCTGACTGCAGGACTGTGACCAGCCTGAGCTCCCTCCCTCCCTGGACTGAGTGGTCTTTTTGTTGTTGAGTCTCAGACACTGTCCGGGGAAGGAGCAGCCTGGACAGGGGCAGGGCCGCCTACCAGCTCATCAGGCAAACAGCTGCAAAGGCCCCAGTGATGCAGAAAACAGGCTTCTTACCCCATGAGCACGCCCTGCATAGACCTGTCCCTGCCCGCTAGCCACCGAAACCCGACAACGTGCAAATCCGCAATTGCTGTCCTTTTGGTTTTCAGGATTTAACTTTGGCTTTCCTTCTCTTAGAAGAGTAAATATTCGTGTCTGTGTAAATTACCAAGAAAGTTGTTGGCCTTTAAGAACAAGATGTGAATGGTGATTTAAAAGTAGGATGATGGAGTGGAGGCTGATGAGGGTGATAGAAAACAGTCGACTTTACACAAGAAAAATAATCGCTGTCCAGACACAACTGCCGTTAATATTTAATGCTTTGAAGCGCATTTTTAAAGATCTTTTTTGGGGTATCTGCGTTTCTCAGTCAGTTAAGTGTTCGACTCTTGATTTTGGCTCAGGTCATGATCTAACGATTTGTGGGTTCGAGCCCCGGCTCGGGGCTCTGTGCTGTCGGTGCAGATCCTACTTGGGATTCTTCCTCTATCTCTGCCCTTCCCCCACCTGCACTCTCTCTTTCTCTCAAAATAAATGAATAAAAGACTTAAGAAATATTTTTCTATGCTTATTTTTAATGTATTTGATATCATACCTCGCATACAACTATATGACTTACATACCTTTTTATTTAATAATTTATTATAAGCATTTCTCACGTGATAAAGTTTTTTTTTGGTAAATATACAAGGGTTACATAACCCTTTCTTAAATACCTGAAGATACATGAATGTAGACTGGTTCTTGATTTTCACTCTTATGAATAATACTGTGAGTGCCAGTGTGCCTAAATCTTTGTATTTGAGACTCTTTTCTTAAGAATTCACCTACGTATGTTATTTGCCTATTTATCTACTAGGTATCACAAGTGGTTTTCTTTTTTTAAAGATTTTATTTTGTCCCATTCTGTGTCTCCCCCTCTCTCTGCCCCTTCCATGCTCATGCTTTGTCTCTCTCTATCTCTCAATAAAAAGGAAGAAAGAACTAGAGAAAGAAAGAAAGAAAGAAAGAAAGAAAGAAAGAAAGAAAGAAAGAAAGAAAGAAAGAAAGAAAAAAACGCTAAAGATTTTATTTTGGAGGTGGGTGCAGCAGGGTGGCTCAATTGGTTGAACATCTGACTCTTGATTTTGGCTCAGGTCATGATCCCAGGGTCGTTAGATCGAGCTCTACATTGGGCTCTGTGCTGGATGTGGAGCCTGCTTGGGATTCTCTCTCTTCCCTACTGCCCTCTTCCCCATTTGTGCTTGTACTCTCTCTCAAATTAAAAAAGAAAAGAGAATTAAAATAAATAAATACAAATAAAAATAAACTACTGGATGCTAGAAAAAAAAGATTGCATTTTAAAGTAATCGCTACACTCAACGTGAGGCTCAAACTCACAACCCCAAGATTAAGAGTCACGTGCTCTACCGACTGAGTGAGCCAGGTGCCCCTCAAGTGTTTTTTTTTAATTAATGTATATAAAATTGCCTTATCTATGACCCTTAATATGACCCTTAATAAATCACTTTTTATACACATCAACATTTTTGTTTGTTTATTATAGTATTGAGTCTTCACATTTTGGGGTTATTAAATCCCTTATGTGTAAGTTTCCTTGGTAAATTTTTCACTACTTTTATGCTTAGAACATCCTTCCTTATTCAGAGCACATATGAATAGTGAATATAAAATCTCAAGATATGGAAAGGTAGTACTTTACAGTGCAGTAGGTCTTAATGTGTGTCAAGGTTATAAATGGATTTTTGAGGGGGCAGGGTTTATTCCTTTCTAGTAACTAGCTAATATTTTTCTGGGCGAGGCAGCTTGATTTCATGCATATATAGTACTTAATATGTGCATAGTCTTACCTCACTCTTAGCCCCGTTGCACATAGGTACTTAAATTACATTGTTGAAAGAAGCCTTTTGGTGAAATTGGAGTCCTCGGTTCAGTGGTTCCTACAGCTTACCTGCGCCCTGGTGTTTGCTTTCCACGAGATACTTTCAATTAGCTTTGTAATACATTTCTCCCGTTGGCCTCAGCTAGCTTGGTTTCTGCCGATTGTGAGCAGAATAACTGAGCGACATAGCTCATGTTACCTAAGAAGGCATGCTTCGTTCTCACTGAACTTTGCTCTAATGGCTTATTTCAGAGGGAGTGCCTTTCCATCCACATTGGCCAAGCTGGCATCCAGATTGGGGATGCTTGCTGGGAACTCTACTGCCTGGAACATGGAATCCAGCCAGATGGCATTGCTCTCAACAGTGAAAAGGATCAGGTGGAGAATGCTAAAATGGAGCATATGGACGTGTCTTCCAATACCTTCTTCAGGGAGACGAGAGCTGGAAAGCACGTGCCCAGAGCATTATTCATGGACCTGGAGCCGACTGTGATAGGTAATGTAAGGCTTGCTTTCCAGTGTGCTTAACCAGGTCCACAACCCCAGCAGGCACATCCAGTACCAGTCAGATTACACTGAATCTATCTGAACAGGATCAAGGGACCCTTTTTAAATTTAGAAGGTCACTCATGAGCATGTAAGGTGATCAGCATGAAACATACCTAAGAGAATTCTAGCTTCGCCTTCTTTTTCTGTGTGATGACACAAACCCAAACTTTGTGAGTTCCTCCACACACATCTGTTGTAACAGAAGATTAGATCTTTTCCTGGATTGGAAGGCCAGTTGCTAGAAGCTTCTGACAAAGAATCTGAAATTTGACATTTCCTGAACGTGAGTCCACAGAGGTAAGGAGCCAAATACATCTTCTAATTGTGGGGGGAAATCAGTACAATGTTATGATTGTTAATGGGAGATTTTGCAGACGCTGGAAACGGGTCTACAGAAGTGCCGGGGAAGGAAGGCACCTTCCTGACCTGGACAGGCTGGAGAAGAGGGTGCATTTGGGTTTGGTGTTACACGTCAGTTCTTTGCTGCTGGTCAATAAACCGCCGCCGAACGTAGTGATTTACAACAACACCGCTCGCTACCTTGTCCGTGATCTGCAGCTGGAGGCGCTCAGAGGGGAGCGCTCCTCTCTGCTCCACATGGTGTCCCGAGAAGCCTCAAGTGGCAGCTGGAGAAGCCACTTGGGAAGTGGTTCACCCACACGGCCGGCGAGTTGGTGCTGGCTGTCGGCTAAGAGCTGGGCCGGGGCTGTGGGGCCACGGGCCTCTCCGCGGGCAGCCGGGGCTTCCTCACAGCACAGTTCTACCAGCAAGCGCCCCGTGGGCACAGGGCTGGAGTCCACGGCAGCCTAGTAATCCAGTCTTAGGAGAGTGTTTAACTGCTGTTGTTCCATGCATCAGGGCAGTTACAGAGACCCACCCAGGAAGGGAATGCAGACCCTCCTGATGCGGAAAGAGCGAGGTTCGAGAAGCACACGTGAGATGAGCAATAATCTTGTGGCCATCTTTGGAAAACACAGTCTGTATGCACCGGATTAGAGTTTGTTTCCCAATCAGAACAATGTCAAGTATCAAACAAATGGTGATTGGTGGCCGTGGGAAGGAGAAGGTGGGAAGTGTTTCTATAAGGAGAGGAGAACTGCTGGAGCCAAGATGCCTCTAGAGAGATCCAGTATTTGCTAGATGTGAAGGAATTAAAAATAAGGAAATAGTGGTGGCTTCACGAACAGGGGAGCCCAGTCTGGAGGCAAAGGGAGGCAGTCATGTTGTATCTGGACTTGGAGTTATCAGTGCCCGAAGACAATATCTTGAGTTTTTGTTTCTGACAAATAGGAGTTTGCACCTATGAGCTTCGGTTTCTGTCTCGTATCCCCGAAACCTGGGCAGAGTGGAATATGTCCCCAGAGGGCTTTGGTAAAGAAGCAACATGAGAGGCCACATCTCAGGAGTGTGAATATTGTAGCAGGTGTTTTAACTTATGCCAATCCAAAGATGCTGGGCAAGTTGGAGGTGTAAGACCTGAGCAGGTCCAGGAAGAGCGAGGAGGCAGGGAGAAATCCCCCACTCCTCTAGAATGCAGCACAGAGAGAGGGCAGTTGTGTGGATCCGGAGCTGGCCCAGACAAAGAGGCATAAGCTCCAGGTGGTAGGAGAAGGCGCTGATTTGCCTTGTTGTATTGAGCAAATAAGAGAGCCTCGTGTGTGTGAGGCACTGTTCTTGACATGGGGGCTGTATGTAATCTTAGTCTTCAGGGAGCCTACAGTCACCTGCGGTGCAGATGCTGGTCAGTAGATGGAGAAAAATAAAGCAGAACCATAGAGGTAGGGAATGTCGTCCAAGTGGTAGGAGGTGTTTTTTCCAAAGGAATGTCAAGGAAGGCCTTGCAGAGAGAGTGATCTGCAGGAAGTAGGGCAAGAGCCTTACCTCTCTGGAAGAGATCAGAAAAGACTTGATGGACAAGGTGATTGTCTGAGTCCTAAAGACTGGGTAAGAGGCTTCTAACAGTTCACAGGGGAAAGAGAATGGAAAGCACGAGCAAAGACACATTCAGACCCCTGTGAATATTGTTTCCGCTTGAAAATGGGGAGGATGTTGATATAGCAGAGTCACCGAAGGCTTAGGAGGGAGGCAGACTGAAATTTCCTTGAATAGTATGTGTGGTGTGAATCTGATTGGAAATAAAAAGATTTAGAGCAGGGGAAAGGCAGATTTAGAACTATACTTCAGTAATAATTAATCACAGATTTATTCATTCATGTATTCAATATTTCTTAAGCTCCTGCTATGTGTCAGGTACTGATCTCCAAGTAGACTGGAGACAGTTATGAGATTTTTGTGATGTACGGACTGGAATGGAGAAGAGAACACCAATTTGAGAGATATCTGAAACAGTCGTGGATTGGGACACCTGGGTGGCTCAGTTAGTTAAGCATCTGACTCTTGATCTCAGCTCAGGTCATGGTCTCATGGGTTCATGGGTTTGAGCCCCGTGTCAGACTCTGTGCTGACAGCACAGAGCCTGCTCGGGATTCTTTCTTTCTGCGTCTCCCCTGCTTATGTTCTTTCTCTCTCTTAAAATAAGTAAATAAACTTTAAGAAAATTCAAAAAGAAGCAGGAATGGATTACATGCTGATGGATGCTGTTGAGAGAATTCAGAGGTGTCACCCAGATTTCACTGTTTCAATAATGGGATTTGAGAAATGAGATAGCAGAGGGGGACCTAGTTTTGGGTGTGAGGAATTTGAAGTGTCTGCAGGTAGAGGTAATACTAAAAAGCTGTCACAGTGGCTGATCTTGTTCAAAACAAGCCTGAATGGTTTCGAGTAAAGGAAAGGTGAGTTTAGTTATGTTTGTGGAACAGAATTCTACCGAAGATATTTGTAGGCAGAATAAAGGAGAGAGGGGAGGGAGGGAGGAAGGGAGGGTTCAGAGTGGGTGAGGGGCCCCATGACTGAGAGGGTGGGCTGTTCTCCTCCTTCCCTCTCTTCTCTGGGGCAGAGACCGAGGATTTTGCATCAAGGAGGAAGGTGCTCATTGAGGAGTTCTATGATTGGAATAATGGAGCGGTGAGACCTTGGAGACAGGAGCAGAGGTTTAAGACACATTTGGAGAGGGGGACAGAGGGTCAAGCGACATGTGAGGAGTGTGCCAGATGTGAGTCTGGAGGGGCCGAGAGCAAAGCTGGGGTGGATGGTGCCCGTGAGGTGGGGACCAGGCGAGGAGGGATTTGGGGCTGGCGGCAAGCCTCCGGCTCTCCTCACCCGTCCCAGGGCCAGGCTGTGTGAGCAGATCGGTGAAAATAACACGAAGGGAGGAGGGGTGGGAAAGGAAAGTACCGGGAGCTCAAGGTCGTGGTGAGAAAGAATTTAGCATAATTCAACGAACATTCATCCATCACCCAAGGATGGGAGTAGACAGATGAAGGAATGTTGACCCCTTCCCTGCTGCTGTCCCAGTGAGCTCAGGCAGCTTTAACAAAATACCATAGACTAGGGGCTGAAACAGTGGAAATTTGTTTCTCACTGTTGTGGAGGCTGGAAGTTCAAGATCCGGGTGGCAGCGTGGTCGGTGTCTGATGCGAGCTGCCTTCCGGCTTTGCAGACGGCCACCTTCTCGCCATGCCCTCACATAGCAGAGCGAGAGATCAGCTCTCTGTCCTCTTACAAGGGCACTCACCCCATTCATGAGAGCTATACCCTGATGACCCAGTCAACCCCTAACACCATCACGCTGCGGGTGAGGCCTTCAGCATCCATTTAAGATAGATCTTGGGGAGACACGAGTATTCGGTCCATAGCAGTACTAGTTAGTAGTGAGGAACTGCATGGGTATTCTCCCGTAACGGTATTCTGTCAGGAAACCTTGTTATCCTCCGTTAATAGATGAAGCAGCCCAGTCTCGGGCAGGATGGAACTTGCCTTAGATCATTGAGCTGTTGAGGGTAGAACTGGGTTTGACCTCAGATTTGTGTACTAAGAAAAGCCATTCTCTTTTAGCAGCAACAACAACAAAACAGTATAAGCTAGTGGAGAAGAAAATGTAAATGGTGGTAGCAATACTAACACATGTGTTAAGCTGAAACATATAAAATTGCCGGTGGTTGATTATTTTTACATAAAAAATGTCAGTGTTGTACGATACGACCTAGTAACCATAGAAATGTCTGCAAGATGAAGAGGTATCCCTGAGGAAGGGCCGTCCCACGTCTTCTCCTGAGGGAACAGCATTGGCAGACTCCCAGAGGCGTGGAGGAACATACACATTACACAGGAGTTCCGTGCGGCGGAACTTGGGGTTGAGTGAGTAGGCGGGCCATGGTACAGAAAGACCATCGGGGGGCGCCTGGGTGGCTCAGTCGGTTAAGCGTCGGACTTTAGCTCAAGTCATGATCTCACGGTTCGTGGGTTCGAGCCCCGCGTCGGGCTCTGTGCTGACAGCCAGCTCAGAGCCTGGAGCCTGGTTCGGATTCTGTGTCTCCCTCTCTGACCCTCCCCTGCTCACGCTGTCTCTCTCTCTCTCTCTCTCTCTCTCTCTCTCAGAAATAAATAAAACATTAAAAAAAAAAAAAAAGAAAGACCATCGGGCTGGGCCATGGGCCAGGTGGGAGAAGTAAGGTGGTGTGGTTAGAGAAAGGCTTTTGCAACTTTAAAATTTGTGGGGAGACCGTTGTGAGTGTTTTCAAGTGGAGTGGGGCCGAACAGCATTGGAAGGAAGAAAGCAAGGGATGTCAAATAATCCTGTTTAAAAACCACTGAACTCCCTAAGGATGCTGGTTAGGTAAAGACACTGGGCCAGATACTCCTGTCTCTGAGCAAAGTGGGAAAATGTGCCAGGAAGTGAGTGGACGATTTGGGTGTGCTCACCAATGGCTGTGCTATAAGCGCACCAATGGCCGTGCTATAAGCGCTGATCTGTGAAAAAGTTGATTTTGCTGGAAAAATTTGTGGAACTACCTTCAGAATCTTAGCTGGACATTATCGTGAAGAACCAGGCTTCCAGATTGCCATAAATTCCCCTCGTAGGCTGAATTCAGCCCTAGGGCTTAGTGAAAAGCAAAGAGTCCACCCAGAATTTTATGTCCACTTCTATCTTGTTTGTAAAAGTATCTTTTCAAAACCTTAACTTGGGGTGTTTTTGTTTTTAGCGTGGGTATGTTAGTTAAAACTCATTTAAATAAATTTTAGTAAATTTAAGTATTTATTATACTTAGATAATATTTAGAAATTATTTAGATATTATTTGTATTTAAACCATAAAATCGTGCTTTAGAAATTCATAGTGATCTACAGGTGAGCAAGGTGAATTGAGAGAGCCATCTTGTTCTTAGACAATGGGTGTGTTTCCTCTTAGGCAGTGATCTTCTGGGACTAACTATAGGTATCTGGTGATGAGACCAATATGGTATTTGCATAAATACATGTCATGAGCCAGTTGTATCATTATTTTAAAAACACTTTTTTAAGGTTTTATATTTATTTTTGAGACAGAGAGAGACAGAGAATGAGCACGGGAGGGTCAGAGAGAGAGGGAGACACAGAATCTGAAGCAGGCTCCAGGCTCTGAGCTATCCGCACAGAGCCCGACGCAGGTCTTGAACACGTCAACTGCAAGATCATGACCTGAGCCAAAGTTGGAAGCTCAACCGACTGAGTCCCCCAGGCGCCCCTGTATCATTATGGCTTATAAAGGTTTCCTCTGGGCCGTGCATTGTGCCCCATGATCTCACTTAATCCTTGTAGGGTAGGTCTTGTTATAACCTCATTTGTGAGATGCAATAATGGAGGCTTAGGGCTGCTAGTGGCCGGCCCATGGCTGAGTGGGGAAGGGGAACGTGAATGCAGGAAACTGACTCTTGGACACCCGCTCTTGCTACCTTGCGGTGTCCCGCGGTAACCAGGCCAGCGTTCCCAGAGCCTGCTTGGCCCTCCCCCACCGCTGATTCCTAACTCCTAATTCTTTACGAACCGTGCTATGTGGATAGTTCTAAATTTGGGGAGTGGGACACAGACCTGGGAGACACGTGTCTTGGTATTCCCTCACGCTGTCCAGGTTTTTAAAAGGCAACAAAATGAGGCAGGAGCTGCGCTTGGTCGTGCTGAAGATTGCCAGTATTGTAACCTCAGTTTCCCCGTTTTAGGTGTTTATGTTAACTGCGTTTGAGCTGTGTGAGCGTTTGGGTGGGCCACACCTTCTTTGTAACGCCTCTTTCATAGCAGACTGCTAATAATGTAGATTGGGATGCTTTTCCTTGCTTTGTCGGCACACAGCTGGCTATTTGTGGATAGAGGTACTTGGCCTTGAAATGCCAGCGTGATCCAGGGTGTTTGATGGGTTTGAATAGTGTCTCCCAAATATCTGTGTCTACCTAGAACCTCAGAATCTGACTTCATTTAGAAATGAGGTCTTTGCCGCTGTGCTAAGTTAAGATGGGGTCACACTGGATGGGGGTTTGCCCTACCTCCCACGGTCTATGTCCTTATGGGAAGAAGAGGGGACACGGGCAGGGGACTGGGCGTGTGTGACTGGCAGGTACTGGGGTCATGCAGCTACCTGCTGAAAAGCTCCCCAAACTGGCAGGGGTCACCAGAGGCCAGGAGAGCAGCACGGAACAGCCTCTCCCTGACCTCCGGAAGGGACCAGCGCTGCCAGCACCCTGATGTGGGACTTGCTGAGCCATGAGAGCACAAATTCCTCTCGTCTGAAGCCACCTAGTTTGTTGTCATTTGTCACGGCAGCCCTAAGGGACTGATGAAGGGTGTGTGATGGGGGAACATACTTTCTGTTTATCTGGGAATAATGATACCCGTCCCTAGACTAAGGAAGGCCCATTCTGCAGTTTCCAGCCATGTGTCTACCACACCAGGGGATGGAGGGGTCGGGGTCCCCGGCCGTGCAAGGACTCGCCAGGGGCCGGCGGTTGAACGGAGCGGAGCGTGCTGACTCCCTCTCCCCCTGCAGATGGGAGCGTGCTGGCCCCCTCTCCCCCTGCAGATGGGAGCGCGCTGACCCCCTCTCCCCCTGCAGATGGGATCCGAGGTGGCCAGCAGCGCTCACTCTTCCCCCCAGAGCAGCTCATCAGCGGGAAGGAAGACGCCGCAAACAACTACGCCCGAGGCCGCTACTCTGTGGGTGCGGGCATCATCCACCTTGTGCTGGAGAGGATCCGAAAGCTGGCAAGTGGCTCCCTCCTCCCTAGACGGGTGCTTGGGTGCCTGGGCTCCACCTCCCAGGGGACCATTTCCTAGCACAGGCATCACGGCACCCAGCCTCTCCCCTTGGAGCCTCCTGCGGATGCTCAAAGCTGGGAAGCCGCCCGGCGTTGGCTTTGACTGTGCTTTGGAAGGGCCAGAGAAACCCTTACACTTGATATAGCCTCATCTGCTCTTTTTTATTTCTTAGATTTATGGGTAAATGTTTTATTTTTTCCCCACTGCTTTATTGAGCTCTGACACCCAACATTGTGTAAATTTAAGGTGTACAGCGTGATGATGTGCTACACCTGTATTGCACAGCGATTGCTACAATATGGTTAACGTGTGTGTGCACGTGTGTGGTAAGAACATTTAAGATCTACTCTTTTAGCAACTTTCTTTTTCACTTTAATTTTTTGTTAATGTTTCTTTATTTTTGAGAGAGAGTGAGAGAGAGCGTGAACCAGGGAGGGGTACAGAGAGAGGGAGACAATGGAATCCGACGCAGGCTCCGGGCTCTGAGCTGTCAGCACAGAGCCCGACGTGGGGCTGGAACTCATGAACTGTGAGATCATGACCTGAGCCAAAGTCGGATGCTCAACTGACTGAGCCATCCGAGCACCCCATCTCTTAGCAGCTTTCAGGGCACAAGGCAGTATTGCGGACTAGAAACACCATGCTGTCCGCTAGATCCCCGGAACTCTTTCCTCTTCTAACTGGAAGTTTCTGCCCTGCAACCATCGTCTCCCCGTTGCCCCCACCCACGGCCCCTGGCAGACATTATTCTACTTTCCCTTTCTGTGAGTTTGACGTTTTTAAATTCCATGTATATAAATGGGATGTTCCACTATTTGTCTTTCTGTGTGACTTGTCTCACTTTGCATGATGACCTTAACGCCCATCCACGCTGTCACGAGTGGCAGGACGTCCTTCTTAATGATTAGCCGTCCTGCGCTCTTGCTTCTGCCCAACAGGCGGCTTATCTTGTTTTCGCAGACTTCTAAAGCCTCAGGACACTTGCCATGCTCCTTCGCATCCCACTGTCTATGCAGTTAACAGGAGGCACATCCTACCTGGAGATTAGTTACTCTGTTACCATCAGTCAGTACTTTAAGGACCTGCATCTGGAGAATCCTTGGTCTAGGACATACTCTGGTGTTTGACGTAAGCCTTAAGTGGCGCGATGCCTTTTACACCCGCAGAGCAGATTGGGTCTAGAAGCGATAGGTACCTCACCTGCTGGCGGAGCAGGAGGGATCTGCTGCTTCAGTATTTTGCTAGTCATTTTCTTGTCTTCATGACTGATAAACACCTGGCTTTAGATCACACGCAGATAAATTCGTGGAGGGCAGCTAACGACAGTTGGATACTTAGGCTCTGCTTACAGTAAAATTCTAAAGCGCTATCCCTACTCCACACACTTGCATGTGCTCTATGTGGCGTTAATAATGGTACCAGTCCTTTCTGAAGGTTTTGTTTGTTCGAGGGAGCTTGCTGTGTCCCCTCCCAGGATTTCTGGGTTCATTTGGCACATTCTCACATCTCCTTTACTTCCCCAGGCGGAGCACTGCGCTGGGCTTCAGGGATTTTTGATTTTCCGGAGCTTTGGCGGAGGGACTGGGTCGGGATTCACGTCTCTCTTAATGGAGCAGCTCTCGGCTGAATATAGCAGGAAGACGAAGCTGGAGTTCTCGGTCTATCCAGCCCCCAGGATCTCCACGGCTGTAGTAGAACCTTACAACTCCGTCCTCACCACCCACTCCACCATGGAGCACTCGGACTGCACCTTCATGGTGGACAACGAGGCCCTCTTTGACATCTGCCACCACAGACTTGGTGTCGAGAGCCCCTCTTACACCAGCATTAATAGGCTGGTGGGTCAGGTGGTATCTTCCATTACTGCTTCCCTCCGGTTTCAAGGGCCCTTGAATGTGGACCTGGTTGAATTCCAGACCAACCTAGTACCTTATCCAAGGATACATTTCCCCATGACAGCCTTTGCCCCTATCATCTCCGCCACCAGCGCCTACCACGAGGAGCTCTCCGTGTCCGACCTCACCGCTGCTTGCTTTGACTTCTCCAGTCAGCTGGTCAAGTGCAACCCTCGGCTGGGGAAGTACATGGCCTGCTGCCTACTCTACAGAGGGGACGTGGTCCCTAAAGATGTGAATGCTGCCATTGCAGCCATGAAGTCGAGGAACTCCGTGCAGTTTGTAGACTGGTGTCCAACGGGTTTCAAGGTGGGCATCAACAGCCAGCCACCCATGGTGCTGCCAGGAGGGGACCTGGCCAAGGCCCAGCGGGCTGTGTGCATGCTGAGCAACACCACGGCGGTCGCGGAGGCCTGGGCCCGCCTGGACCACAAGTTTGACCTCATGTACGCCAAGAGGGCGTTTTTGCATTGGTACATCCGGGAAGGCATGGAGGAGGGCGAGTTCCTGGAGGCCAGAGAAGACTTGGCGGCCCTGGAGAAGGATTATGAGGAAGCGGGGCAGAATCCCTGATGCCCAGGTGGCTGGGGAGGAGGCAGGCTCTGAGTGCAACGCTTTCTTTCTAAGACATTATCTGTGCTTAGCGGGTAGACGTCCCCTGATTGGAAGAAACGGGACGCCAAGTCAAGCAAGACCCGAAGTTCCACACTAAATCAGATGGGTCAGTATCAACAATGAGCTCTTATTTCCTTGGCTGCTAGTGCAGTTCAGCACAGCTACCTCTTAGGTTTGGGGTCCTTTGAGCTTCTGGACTATGTCTATGTTTCTTTCTTTCCTTCTTTTCTTCCTTTCTTTCTTTCTTTCTTTCTTTCTTTCTTTCTTTCTTTCTTTCCTCATAATGGAAACCAAGCTTTATTCTTGGCTTTTGCAACAAAAGGCCATGACCCCCTGAAGTCAGTGCTCTTGCTTTCCCTTTCCTGAGGTGTAAAACAGCACATGTTAATTATTAATGTTATTTCCCCCATGTCTGTATTTTGTACATTGATTAAAGAATGAATTATTTTCAGTGTCATTCTTTTCTTTCTTCCAAATGTGGGCCTTAACGTCTCAGTTTGCTTTTTATACAAAGAAACAAGTAGCAAGTATATTCTTGGGTCTTTCAAACACTTGCATCTGTGATCCTGTGGGTCAGGATGTGAAAGTGAGCTCTCATCTCCTTGAAGAGATATTCCCGAAGTGTGGCCAGCAGAGCCCTGCATCAGATGCAGTTGAGAGGTTTAGGGGAAGAAACTGCACATTCTAGAGCTTCGCTACGGACTTGCTGAATGAGAAGCCCTGGGGATTGGAGGGGGCGTGACCCAAGCGTTTGAAGTTGCCAAAAGTGAATTCCACTTTTTGATTAAGTTTTCCCAGTTTCAAACCAGTTAGAAGTTAAAATGGAAAAGAACTTGTTATAAATGCATTAAAACCATCAATTATTTTCGTATAATCCACGATATTTGACTAATCGTTGGAAGTAAGGTGAAGTAGACACTACAAGGTCTTGCTCTTGAGCTGATGGTAGACAGTGTCCAGGTCCCTCATTCAGCTGTGGTGTTTACCTTGTGGCCCGAGTCCCCCTGTGTCCTCGCCTGGCCTGGGGGTCAGGCGTGGTCCAAAGCGTGGTCAGGGCTTTGGGTTCAGGTCGATAATCTGAGGGTAATAGATGCTAAGGCCTCGGCTGAAGGCGTGCAGTTGAGTGTCGTATTGAGAGATTTACCAAACTGCAATGCGAGCGTCTTCCTTCGCATATGTCAAGACCCAGAATGGCCGTTCCGCCTTTATTGCTCTCCTGGTAGCTGCTTTTAGGTACTGATATCACCGCCCCGGGACGTGGCCTTCAAGAGCTCCAGTCACACGATGTACCATTTTACCTGCTTTCCACTCACACGTGGCCACCACGGGGGCCAGTGAGCACAGATTGGTGGGAATGATGTCTACACACTGTAAGACATGCCTGTCTGTCAGGATACGGTTTTCCAGCTCATCGGTCGGGTTTTGCTCAGTCCTCAAGTCTCTGAGCGTTTGGCTGGATCCCCTTTGGACTCTACTTCCAAGAGCCCCTGCCAAGGGCTGAGTCTCCGCTCAGCTTCATACCAGAGCTCCCTTCGGACCCTGGGGCCTCTTAATCCTAAGATGTGCCAAGACTCCCAGAACCGTAACAGGGAAAGGAATAGGATTCTCGTTCCTATGTCTCTGACTTGCTGTGATCAAAGATTCAGAAGAAAAAAAAAATAAGTTTTTCTACAAAGAAAGGAGTGATTCGGTTTACTCTGCCGTCTCTTTCACCGAATCCAACATAGACCCACAGTGGATTGTCTGGCTCTTTATTCAAGTGTGGAAGAAAACCTTCAGTATTTGAAAGGCCCTGTGACCGTATCCGAATATATGGGGCTCTGTTCTTCAAGCAACCTATGTACCTAAAATGCTCTCTCTTATTCAGTAGTAAATAAAGACATTTGGTGACATAAATATAATGGACATTCCACATACCTGTGAGTTTTAGGATTCGGCCTCCTAAGGTGCAGTCATCAAGATGCAAATACTTCTCTCTAGATTGTTTCTTTTAATAAAGTTTATCATCAAAAATGTAAGGCATAACATGGAAGAAATATCTGTTAGGAGAGATGGATTCAAGTCATGGCATTGTTACAACTATGTGATTTTGAAGTGTATCCCTCTCCATATCTTAAAATCGCCATCTTGAATACAGTTACTTCTCGAGGTCCTTTCCAGTTCCAAGATTTTGTGAGTCTAAGATTTGGTTAACCTGTGATGCTGTGTGCCTCCACATGCCATACATAATATTCAATTTACCAGGTGTTTGTCTTATTCATGTTTTCTTACTATGAATTCATTAAACATTCATTTTTTAATTTCTTTTAGTGGAAACAACATTTGAACTTGACTTGTTAGCATTTTGTTTCCACCACTTCCTGGACAATGAAAAAACCATAGAATGCTTCCACTCAGCATCCCCATGCCTATGTATTGTTGCCTTATATTGTAGTGCCATATGTATTTAAATTTTTTAATATTTATTTATTTTTGAGACAGAGAGCATGAGTGGGGGAGGAGCAGAGAGAGAGGGAGACACAGAATCTGAAGCAGGCTCCAGTCTCCAAGCCACTAGCACAGAGCCCAACGAGGGGCTTGAACCTACAAACCGTGAGATCATGACCTGAGCCAAAGTCGGACACCCAACCGACTGAGCCCCCCAGGCACCCTGTAGCGCCATATGTATTATAAACCGTAAAAAGCACGGATGACCATTGCTGCTGTTTTAAGCTGGATGTCTGCTAGATTACCTTCCTAGTTACCGTCTGGTATTCTTCATTTCCTGTGTTACCATACTTCCATGTGGGGTCATTTTCCTTCTGGCAAAAGACCTACCCTTGGAAATTCTTTTGATGTGGATCTGGGTTTGAGAAGGAATGATATTTGCCTCTTCCTCCTCAAAGAGTGAGATCACCTGAGATCAGGACATGTGATCTTGAGGCAAGGACTCTCTTACTCATCTGTGTATCTACAGGGCCGGGCACAGAGTACGTACTCACAAAATTATTGAGATGTGTTGGGAGATGACCTTGTTTCCTACTTTATTGAAATCACATCCATCTGGTTTTTAGCTTCTTCTGTTCCTCTTCGTACACTTAAACTTGTTTTGAATCTGCATATATCGTCTTCCATCCCAGAGGAGTAGCTCTCCATTCCAAGGACACTGGTCGTTTTTGTACCTTCTCCTCTTGACTCTTCTCTTCTAGAAGATCTCACTCCTTCAGTCTCCTTTGTATATTCTATCTCTTTTTCTCCATTGATTTGTTGTTCTTTTCCTTACTTGTATGTCCAGGTCTCTTCAATCAAAACATCAGTCCCTTTTTCTAGATTCTACTTCCCCCATAACAGACTCTCACATCTTTCCACTCTGTCAAACTTTCCAAAGGAACATACGTATGGTGCATGCATGCCATCTTCTGCTCACTCCTCAGCATTTCTAAGGTGTCTCCCCCACCTTTCTACTCGAACCCTTTATCTTGAAGATCACCGATCATACCTCATTTATCAAAACAGAGACCTTCTCACTCTTCAGATGTCTTTACCCTAAGCGTTTGGTTACTCCTTTTGAAATGTTTCCTTTGGCTCCTGGGGTCCTAGCTGGTTCTCCTGCTCCATCTGGCGTCTCTGTGGGCTCCTCTTCCACTTGTCTGCCCCGATGGAGAGCCTCTTCGTCCTTTCTCTGGCCCTTGGTCTTCGCATCCACAACCACATTAGCTCCATGTGGGTGACTGAAAACCCTAAGCGTGCTTCCCTCTTGAGGTTTATGCTGGAACTTCCAGCTACTTGCGTGGACTTATCTTCTCAGATGTATTGCCCATACTTAAATTTAACTTCTTCCAAGAAAACGTTACCATTTTCCTCAAAAGAAATCTCCTCCCTTTGTGGTCTCTGTCTTGTTTCTTTACGTCATCTTCCCAGGTTCTAAACAACACCGCCATTTCTGACTGCCTTCTTGCTCTCTGCACAGCCCGGGTCCTATCAATTCTATAATGTTTCCAGGACCCATTGCCTTCCTCCTCTTCCCACTGAAGCTGTCCTGGCTCAGGCCATCATACCCTCTTCCCAGAGCCAGCACAGTAGCGTCCAGAGTCTCTTCTGCCTGTCTCTTTGTCTTTCTCACCCATCCCACACACCACTCTGTGACGACATCCTGAAGCACAGCTGGGATTATTTTGCCCCTTTGCTCAAAGCATTAGTGATCCCCATTGTCTGAGGCATGAAGTCTGAATCCCTGCACGCGGCCCCACTAATGTCCAGTCCCATCCAAACTGGAGCACTCCCTGCTTCCCAGCACATGTTTTCCTCTCCCCTCTGTCTTTCCTCCTTCCCACTGCTCTCTTTCTCCTTTCCCTCTGTGACCGTGTGATGTAATACCTACTTCAAACCCAGTTCTTATGTTCTGTGGAGCTTCTTGGGCGTCCCTTTACGCCCACCCCAGGATTAGGGATAGTTGCGATACACTGTGAAATCTCTCGCTATATTGGAAATATTGTAGTAAATACTTATTAGTGAAATGCATATATTTTTGCATGTGCGTATCCTACATAGAGCCTCTTACTAGACTTACTAGTTTTATGTCCATGTGTTGTTTCTCTCTCTGGACACCAGAGGGCACTAGTGAAATGCTTAAATAACCTCTCAGTTCCTGCAATTTTTGGGGTGTTCTAGACATTTGTATATGTGTGAGTGTGTGCATATTCTCACACTCAGAAAAGACCATTCAGGAGTTTTCTTTTGTTTTTAAAAATTAACAGTCTACTAAAATCAAGATATAAAACCTAATTATATCTTTTTTTTTTTTAATATTTTTATTTATTTCTAGGAGAGAGATAGAGAGAGAGCGTGAGCAGGGGAGGGTCAGAGAGAGAGGGAGACACAGACTCTGAAATAGGCTCCAGGCTCTGAGCTGGCAGTCAGCACAGAGCCTGACGCGGGGCTCGAACCCACGAACCGCGAGATCATGACCTGAGCGAAAGTCGGACGCTTAACCGACTAAGCCACCCAGGCGCCCCAAAACCTAATTATATCTTAAACTTTTAAGATCAGCTTGAGAATCTTATGGTTTCCAAGTTTAGCAAATGTAAATAAGTACTTTTAAAAGGAATACATATGAATTTGTGGTCCGCTTTGCAACCTTAGATGACTGTTCTTAAATATTTTAGATTGCATTGATAAATTTAATATATTCTGTTTTCTTTTAAGGACTCTGTCCCACCAACTTTTGCAAGTACTCTAAGTAATTTTTCTAAAAATCTAATAAGTGAAACTATAAATGTGCTGATTAAGTGCGTGCAAGTGTTTCACACTTTATTTATTTATTCTTTTTAAATATTTTTTTTTTAATTTATTTCTAGGAGAGAGAGAGAGACAGCGTGAGCAGG